GAACTCACTCATCATCTCAATCGTGTATCCACTCATCCACCATCTCACTCACCCACTCACTCATTCACCCACCATCTCACTCACTCACTCACCCATCATCTCACTCACTCACTCACCCACCCACTCACCCACCATCTCACTCACTCACCCACTTTACTCACTCACCATCTCACCCACCCACCCACTCATTCACCCACCATCTCACTCACTCACCCACTCATTCACCCACCATCTCACTCACTCACCCATCATCTCACTTAGCAACCCACTCACCCACCATCTCACTCACTCAACCATCATATCTCTCACTCACCCACCATCTCACCCAACCACCCACCCACTCATTCACCCACCATCTCACTCACCCACTCATTTTTTCATTTCATCGACTTAGTTTGTGTTTTATTATTATTGTGTGTGTTGCCACTTGGGTTGACCCATGCCACTATCGAGGCTAATCAGAATGTCATCCTGGTCTCTCGACTTCCCACCTGGTTACAGGAAACCGACTGGAACTCACTCATCATCTCAATCGTGTATCCACTCATCCACCATCTCACTCACCCACTCACTCATTCACCCACCATCTCACTCACTCACTCACCCATCATCTCACTCACTCACTCACCCACCCACTCACCCACCATCTCACTCACTCACCCACTTTACTCACTCACCATCTCACCCACCCACCCACTCATTCACCCACCATCTCACTCACTCACCCACTCATTCACCCACCATCTCACTCACTCACCCATCATCTCACTTAGCAACCCACTCACCCACCATCTCACTCACTCAACCATCATATCTCTCACTCACCCACCATCTCACCCAACCACCCACCCACTCATTCACCCACCATCTCACTCACCCACTCACTCACCATCTCATTCACCCACCAACTCACTCATTAACCCACCATCTCACTCACTCACCCACTCATTCACCCATCATCTCACTCACTCACCCACCATCTCACTCACTCACTCATCATCTCACTCACTCACCCACCATCTCACCCACCACGCACTCACTCACCCACAATCTCACTCACTCATCCACCATCTCACTCACTCACCCATCATCTCACTCACCCACTCACTCATTTATCCACCATCTCACTCACCCACGCACTCATTTATCCATCATCTCACTCACTCACCATCTCACTCACCCACCCACTCATTCACCCACCCACTCATTCAACCATCATCTCACTCACTCACCCACCATCTCACTCACCCACTCATTCATTCACCCACCATCTCATTCACCCACCCACCCACCATCTCACTCACTCACTCACCCACCATCTCACCCACCACGCACTCACTCACCCACAATCTCACTCACTCATCCACCATCTCACTCACCCATCATTTCACTCACCCACTCACTCATTCATCCACCATCTCACTCACCCACGCACTCATTTATCCATCATCTCATTCACTCACCATCTCACTCACCCACCCACTTATTCACCCACCCACTCATTCAACCATCATCTCACTCACTCACCCACCATCTCACTCACCCACTCATTCATTCACCCACCATCTCATTCACCCACCCACCATCTCACTCACTCACCCACCATCTGACCCACCATGCACTCACTCACCCACAATCTCACTCACTCATCCACCATCTCATTCACTCACCCATCATCTCACTCACCCACTCACTCATTCATCCACCATCTCACTCACCCACGCACTCATTCATCCATCATCTCACTCACTCACCATCTCACTCACCCACCCACTCATTCACCCACCCACTCATTCAACCATCATCTCACTCACTCACCCACCATCTCACTCACCCACTCATTAATTCACCCACCATCTCATTCACCCACCTACCCACCATCTCACTCACTCACCCACCATCTCACCCACTACGCACTCACTCACCCATAATCTCACTCACCCACTGATTCATTCACCCACCATCTCATTCACCCACCCACCCACCATCTCACTCACCCACCCACTCACTCACCCACCATCTCACTCACCCACCCACTCACTCACCCACCCACTCACTCACCCACGATCTCACTCACCCACTCATTCATTCACCCACCATCTCATTCACCCACCATCTCACGCGATGGGACACGACCAGTGTTGCCCCCCCACCCCCCCCCCGACTTTATCGACCTCCATCGGATGATGGGCTCGAGTCAACCACCGCCCCACCCAGGATTTGAACTCGCCGGCCGTGCGACTTCGAGCCCGCCCGCTCTGCCGCTTAGCCGCGGCGATTGACGAAGCGCGTCTGTTGTTGTTGTTGTTGGTGTTGTTGTCGGTGTTATTGGTATTGTCGCCGCGTCTGCTTGTTAACGCGACCGTGATGCACGCGCGCGAGTGAGCGCGCGCGCGAGAGAGAGAGAGAGAGAGCAAAGTTGGCGTGCGTTCTCGCGTGCACCGGCCGGGACCGATGAAAATCCCGACAGCTGCGTCGGGGACGCGCGGCCCCGACATTGCTCGCTCGCCGGTCCGCGTCCTTCACGTGCGCCCCCCTCCATCCCCACCCCTACCCCCCCCCTCCCACCAGCCCCCCACTCTGCCTTCTCTCCGCGCAGAAATCTCAACCGCCGTGCGGCTCACGGCCCCCGCGCCGAGGAGAGGCGCAGCGATGAGCGAGCGCGGCGCGGATCGCCGCCGGCGGGCTCGAGGAGGAGGAGGCGCCGATCGTGCGTCCGGGCCCGCAAAGGACGCACCGTGAAGAGGCCGCGCGCGCAGCCACGGGGATCTGAAGTTGTCTCGGAACGGGCGCACCAAAGTTCTGGCGTTTTTACGACGGCGGCGGTGACGATGATGATGATGGCGATGATGGCGGAGGCGAGGTCGATCGTGGCGATGGAGAATGCGGCGGTGGTGGCGGTGGTGGCGGTGGTGGTGTCGTTCGACTGCTGAGCCACCAGGGCACCGCGCGTCTCTCCGACCGACCTCGCGGCTTCGTTAGTGCCGCAACCGGCTCGTCACCACCCCCCCCCCCCCCACCACCACCCCCCCCCCCCCAACCACCACCCCCAGCGGGAACTTTGTCAGCCTTGTCAACCTCTCGCTCCAGCGACCACTTCGCGGAGCGCGCGGTACCCGCCGACTCACACCCACTACCCCCTCCCCCCCCCCCGACAAACGCACCCCGGCACATGAGCCTTGAAGGCCGGGGGACAGTGGCGTTGGAGGGGCGACGTTCGTGAGCCATGAGTCACGGCGGAACGCTCTGGGGACGCTGCGCCACGACGCTCGCTCGCCTCGCGCCTGTCGAGTTTCAAGTTTGCCGGCGCGTGAAGAAGTTGACGTCGCCTGGAAGGGAACACTCGTCCCGCGGTGTTGCGTGAAGTGAGGTGTGCGTGCGTTGTTGTGTTGTGTTGTTGTGTTGGGGTGAGGGGAGCGGTGGTGATAGCGGTTAGCGCTGCGCTGCGCCATGAACCACGGCGACGCCGGTTTCGATTTCCCGCTCACGGACAACACCAAGTGACGATTATCTGAACCGGTCCTGGGCCTCCCCTAGGTCGACTCAGCCTCAAATGAGTACCCGGTGCGACGTGTAGTAAACATCGCCACTGGGGAGACAAAGGCGGTCGGGCGTGGTGCTGACCACCCCCACCCCCTCGTGTACCGTTTGGGCCTTCATAGGTGCTGCTCGCTAACAGCACTTGTCCCTACAGTCTGTTACAGGCTATACGGGGGATCTTTGTCTTTGTTGTGTGTGTGTGGGGGGGTGCAAGCTAATCCGGCTGGCCCGGGGCGATTGCGGGAAGCACGCGGCACGGTCGCGTGCCAAGCCAGGGGTCTTGCGCCCACCGCAATCCCCGAATCGCTCGCTCGTTCGTTCATTCATTCGTTCGTTCGCAGATTCCGCACATCAGCATCATCATCTTCTTGACTTAAAGCTTTCGTGGCTGCAGGAATTCACATTCTTTGGGTCGTTGGGTACGTGACTTTACCGAAAGACCCAAAGAATACATCAAAATCATCATCATCATCATCATCATTTCATCTTCTTCTTCATCATCATCATTATCACCGCCGTCGTTCGATATCCGCAGCGCGTCTCCCGCACAGCGCGCGGGCATCTCGGCCAACCGCCGCGTCTCAGATCACTCCAGCAGCGGCAGAGAGGCGGTCGCGGACCGAATCTCTCTGGCCGACGTACGGACAGACGCCCGTCCGGCCGCCAGCCCGGCCGCGACTCCAACTCGCCCTGCGCCGCGCGTCCAGAGCCATCGCGCCGGGCTCGACTCGGAGCGGGCCACCCTCAAACCCCAACCCCCAACACCCCCTCCGCGAATGTTCGTCCGCTGCCCGCTGGTCACGTCCGACTCGCCGAAGGATCTCCATCGACGCGCGGTGACCGAAACCGCGGCTCCCACACCACCCCCACCCCTCCCCACTTCGCCCCTCTCCACCCCCACGGGACCACCCCGAGGCATGGCCATGACGGGCCGCGCGGCCCGGCGCGGTCACTCGGGGCCCACGCCGCCGCTCGAGGTCGCCTCGCCGCGATGCGCGAGGCCGCGGCAGTAGCGGGTTCAGCGCGGAGCCCTCGTCCGCTGGAGTGACCCCCCCCCCACCATCACACCCCCCACTACACACCCCCCACCATACCCCCACCATACCCCCCCATCACACCCCCCACTCCACCCCCCCAAACACACCCCCCACCACACCCCGCACACACCCCCCACCACACCCCCATACACCTCAAACACCCCACACCACACCCACCCCACACACACACCCTCCACACACTCCCCATCACACCCCCAACCACACCCCCAACCACACACCCCACCACACACCCCACACACCCCACACACCCCCCCCACTACACCCCCCACCACACCCCACACACACACCCCCCACACACCCCCACCTTACACACCCCCCCACACACACCCCCACACCCCCCCCCCAACAACACACACCCCCACCGCGACAAACCCACCCCCCACCCCCCCAAAAAAAAAACAAATTCGGCGCGTGGCGGCTTCGTCGATCGACGATGAAGCGTGGCTGAAGGATGACGAGCGAGGCGGAGGCACCGCTACAACGCCGCCGTCACCGCCGCCACCACCACCACCACCACCGCCACCTCCACCTCCTCCTCGTCCTCCTCTTCCCCCGCCGCTCGCCGATCGCGATGCTCACCGCGGCCGTGACTGCGTGGGCCGTGGCCGTGGCGACTCTCCCGGCCGCGGCCGAAGCTCGCGGAGCCCCGCGTGCTCACGGCGGCGGCCGAGGGGGTGGCTCCCGGCAGGGCTACCCGGTGCTCAACATCGCCGTGATCTACGCGGGCCGCTCCTCGCAGCTGCTCGACGTGAAGCACGTGCTGAGCGGCGGGCAGTTCCTCGACATGCCCATGGACGTGAACGTGGCGGTGACGCGCACGGTGAACGGCACGAATCCGCGGGACGTGATCATCCAGATCTGCGACGTGCTGTCGAGCGTGCGGCTCCACGGGGTCGTTTTCGGCGACGAGACCGAGAGGGAGGCGCTCGCCCAGATCCTCGACTTCATCTCCTCGCAGACGCTCATCCCCATCATCGGTATCCGAGGAGGCTCGGCCGTGGTCATGACTAAAAAGGTACGAGTCCGTTCTGGCATAGATTGCTGTTGTTGTTGTTGTTTTGATTTAAAGCTTTCGTGGCTGCAGGGATTCATATTCTTGGTTCTTTCGGTAGTCACGTGACTTTACCGAAAGAACCAAGAATGTAGGAATAGGTTTTACCCTTTTAACTGGCACAAAAACTGACACCTTTATTCAAGGCATCATGTTTGCAATAACCACAACACAAGCAGTCAAAATGCAAACAAAAAAGACAACTCTGATAATAATATGCACTGTCCTTGAATTTGATTGGTCCACACCCGAGACAGCTTTTCTTAGAGCCTAGTCTCCATTGGTGTTGGACCAGAAGACGCCAAAAGGCGTACAACTCAAAAACAGCGCACTATCAGAGTATTGAGGGCTCGGGGTGAGCATTTACATTATGAGACTTCCTTTGCCAGAAACAAGATATAGGAATAGGTTTTACCCTTTAAACTGGCACAAAAACTGACACCTTTATTCAAGGCATCATGTTTGCAATAACCACAACACAAGCAGTCAAAATGCAAACAAAAAAGAAGACCAAGAATGTGTTGTTGTTGTGGGTGGGTGGGGTGGGGGAGGGGGTTAGATCGCGTAGATATGTGTCGTTAAAGCCCGCCACCACCCGACACGCAGCCACATTAGCAAGGTTGGTGCCCATGCTCTTTGCTTCTCTCGGTAAAGTCACGTAGTTAGAAAATAAATACATACAATAAATCACGACGACCGCTTGTTTTGCGATCGAAACGTCGCGATGTGTTTTATTTTATTTTCTACCCACGTGACTTTACCGAAAGAGCCAATGGGTATGGATTCCTGCAGTCACGAGAGCTTCAGATCATGATTAAGGTTGGTGGCCGTGAAGTGAATTGTTCAGCACCAGCGTGGGTGTGTTGGGAGTGTAAACTCACAGCCATGGGCGGTGTTTGGGGGGAGAGCGGGGGGAGGGGAGGGGCAACGGAGGACACTTTTATAAATTAATTTTCAGTAGTTTACAATTAAGATTAAAAATAAACTAATTATATGTACCCGCGATTCTTAATGTGCGGGACAAAGCGAAACCCCTCCCCCCTCCCTAAATATAGAAGTCAAACCCGGCCTATGCCCACAAAATTTAATCAACAACGCGAGTAGCTGCGATGTTTCTCCGGTGATTTACAGCCACCAGCTTCATCAGGCGATGAGTCAGAATTAAATAGAGGAGGGTGGGGGGGTAGAGAGGGGGGGTAAAGATGACGTCATCACCGCGGGGCCCTATCACGTGCGATAGGGCAATGTATGTGCAGGATTTATGTAGAGTGCACGAGGAATCCGATGAGCTATAAAGCTCTTTTTTGTTTCACACAGACGTCCGGTCGGGGCGGGTAAGAAAGTTACAATTGTCGTGAGGAGTCACTGTTAAGTTACAAATGCATCGGCGAATTAACCCGGCTAAGTCAGCCCCCCACTTGTGATTGAGGGGTGTGGGGTGTGGGGGGTGTGGGGGGGTGGTGGTTGGAGAGGGGGTGGAGGTGCAGCGAGTCGCCGCTACGGAGGAGAGTGAACTCGGAGGGACTTCAGCCTTTGCACCGTTCCCTGCTGTGTCTTTGGAATGTGCGTGTCTCTCTCGAACTCGGCTCGCCAGGTTCTTAGCGCTAGCGCAGCGCGCTAACCGCTACACCACCGCTAGCCCCCCCCCTCCCCCCACACGCACACAGACACACGCGCGCACCCATCACGCACGCGCGCCCCATCACGCACCCCATCACGCACGCGCGCCCCATCACGCACACGTGCGCGCGCGCGCGCCCCATCACGCACACGTGCGCGCGCGCGACCTCCGCTCCGACACAACTCCCCCACTCCCCCACTCCCCCACTCCCCCACCCCCTCCCCCCACACCATCTTCGGCAGGAGGAGGAGTCGATCTTCCTGCAGTTCGGTGCCACTGTGCAGCAGCAGTCGCGCGTCATCATGCGCATCATGGAGGAATACGACTGGCACAGCTTCTCGGTGGTCACGTCACACTACACCGGGTACCAGGACTTCATCTACCACCTGCACATCACCGTGGAGAGCAGCTACGTAGGCTGGCACCTCGACCGCATCATCCCCCTCGACCTACTCGACCGCGACAGCGACGACCAGATCAAGGCGAAGCTGCGCAGCATTCAGACGCAGGTGGTCGTTCTCTACTGCTCGATGGCCGAGGCCGAGTACCTGTTCCGCGTCGCCGAGACCGTGGGACTCACTGGCTTCGGTTACGTGTGGATTGTGCCGGGACTGCGTTGGTCCGAGTCGGAGAGACGTCCCCCGGGACACTTCCCGACGGGCATGGTGACCATCTCGTACGACGACGAGCGGCGGGGGCTCGCGCATCGCGCCATGGAAGGGGTGGCCGTCGTGGCCACGGCCGCCTTCAACATGTTCGTCGAGTTCGGCTTCATCCCCGAGTCGAAGCTCAACTGCAACAACACCAACGCCTTCAACAGCTCTCTGTGGAGCACCTTCTACAGGTGCCGTGGGGGGGGGGGGGGTGACGTGGGGTGGTGGAAGGGGGTGGTGGGAGGGGGCGTTGAGGGGACGGAAGGTGGGGGTGGTGGGGGGGTGGTGGGGGGGGTGGTGGGGGGGAGTCGGTGAAGGGAGGGGTAATGGGAAGGGGGTGTTTGGGGGGCGGTGGAAGGGGGTCGGATGTGGGGGGGGCGGTCGCGGGGGTCGGTGGGGGGGGGTGGTGGGGGGGGCGGTGGGGGGGGCGGTGAGGGTGCGGTGGGGGGGGGACGGTGGGGGGGGGCGGTGGGGGGCGGATGGCGGTGAAAGCTACAGCAGCAACAGCATCGCACGTCCCTGAGTGATAGCTCAACAAAGTCGCTTACCGTGTGCACATTTATCGCGACAACAACAACAAAACAATCAAAATAATCTACGTGCAAGTTTCTAAATGTGGAGGGGGTGTGGGGGGGGGGGGGGAGAACCCGGAGGACCCCGGAGGACCCCGGAGGACCCCGGAGAACACATCCTCCGCAGAAAAAAAAACCAAAACATTACTCGCAACATTGCAATTGTTATTTTTTTTTCCCGCAGGCAGTCTTTACTTAAGTCGGCTTTCCTCGCCTGGGCTGATGAAACCAAGTTCCCGTGTCCACGTGGCCCCATTCCATCGTGGCCTCGAATACGCCCGACCGGTAGCACCATCGGACTGGGCTGGATAATGATACGCATGATGAGCATGATGAGCAGGAGGAGCAGGGATGAGGGGGGGGTGATGAAGGGTTTATGTCAAACTTCCAGGCGGTACACACTGCACGATACAAAATAAAATAAAAAAAAATACCTGCAGTCGATACTTTGCCGCGATGGATCTTCGTCGTCCCGCACAACTTGAAGTTTATTTGATTTGGCACGTGGACGATGATGCTGCTGGCGGTGCAGTTCAAGCAGTCTCCCTGGCTACTTTACACATTGGAGATGCGTGGTGCTGCGTAAAGAAACAGCTGCAAGGACGAGGTCGTAGGAACTCGTGGCCTTGGCTACGTGATCCCGGTGGTTCTCCGGTTCCAAACGCCGCCAAGGAGCCAAACTCACGGCATTAGAAGCGGTCCCAACATCTCTACTGCGGCAGAAGCCCCCCCCCCCTACCCTCCCCCCCCCTCCCGCCGAGACTCTCTTGGCAGAGTAATGAGCATCGCTGTTCTTATAAAGATCCCCCCCCCCCATCCACCCCCATATAGCCTGAGTAGACTGTTGGGGCAAGTGCTGTTGGCGACGAGCACCTAACGAAGGCCGGAACGGCAACACAAAGAGTCTGGGTGAGCCAGCACCGCACCCGGTACTCATTTGAGGCTGAGTCGAACTAGGGGAGCGGTGGTGCAGCGGTTAGCGCTACGCCGCGCTATGAACCCCGGCGACCCGGGTTCGATTCCCGCTCACGGCCAACACCCAGTGGCGATTATCTGAACCGGTCCTGGGCCTCCCCCTAGGTCGACTCAGCCTCAAATGAGTACCTGGTGCGGTGTGTAGTGAACATCGCCACTGGGGAGACAAAGGCGGTCCAGGCGTGGTGCTGACCACCCACCCCCTCGTGTAACCGTTCCGGCCTTCATAGGTGCCCGCTAACAGCACTTGCCCCCTACAGTCTGTCAAGGCTATAGGGGGGATCTTTGTCTTTGTGTCTGTGTGTGTCCTAGTGGGGAGCGGTAGTGTGGCGTGTGCCGTGCCGGCCTCCATATGTGCAGCTCGCTTAACAGCACTTGTCCCGACAGTCTGTTGCAGACTGTCGGCGGTGGTGGTGGTGGTGGTGGGGGGGGGTCTTTGTCTTGTTTGGCGTTATCTACCACTCGGCCAGTGTTTAACATTTCATTACAATTCAGGGCGCAGCCGCCAGAGACGCCGGGGTTTATGTTGACATGCCTCTAATGCAGCGTGTCGGCGTGCCCTCTTTGTATCGGGCCTAATAATTTCCACGCTTCTTGGTGCCGCCAGAAGGAGGGGGGAGGGGGGAGGGAGGGAGGGGGGAAACGTATTTTTTTTCCTTATTTATATTTTATATTTTTGGTGTGTGTGTGTTGTGTTACATCGCTCGCATGAAAGGCCGAAACGTCACGATTGTACGTTTGTCACGCTACAGAGAGCGAGTAGAAATAATGTTCGGCTCGGAAGTTTCACGGCGTTTCAACGTCGCGGGGCGGGGGGGGTGGTGTGGGATGGTGGGGGGGGGAGTACAGAGTGGGGGGGGGTGAGGAAAGAACAACCATGCATGCGCATGGATTCTGAATTGTTTATCCGGGTGTTCAATGGGGGCGAGTCCCTTTAATCGCAACGCAACTTCGTAACAGAAATCTCCTTCGTAATTGGCTCATCGCTGCGAGCGTCACGGGGGGGTTGGGGGTGCCCTCCAGTTACGGACGGACGGAACCGATGCGTTGCAAAGATTTCCAGGCCGTAGTTGTCCCGTGACCCGATGACCTCTGGGATTGCGAGCCCAGCGCGACCGCTGACCGCTTGCACGAATTGTGGCGGCGTCGTGGTTAATGTCTCAGGTGAAAAAAAAAAGAGGAAGGCCGTTCGTAATTATTGCACTTGATATTTCTGTATTGGGGTTGGTTTTTTTGTTTTTGTTTTGTTTTGTTCACGCGTTGTGCGAACAAGACCGACAAAGTCCCTTTGAGTGGAGACAGCGAGCGGCAGCACCCACCACGTGGCTGTGTACAGGGCTGGCCATGACGTCACTCTGAGTTGAGACAGCGAGCAGCAGCACCACACCACGTGGTTGTGTACAGGGCTGGCCATGACGTCACTCTAAGTTGAGATAGCGAGCAGCAGCACCCACCACGTGGTTGTGTACAGGGCTGGCCACGACGTCACTTTGAGTTGAGACAGCGAGCAGCAGCACCCACCACGTGGTTGTGTACAGGGCTGGCCATGACGTCACTCTGAGTGGAGACAGCGAGCAGCACCACACCACGTGGTTGTGTACAGGGCTGGCCATGACGTCACTTTGAGTGGAGACAGCGAGCGGCAGCACCCACCACGTGGTTGTGTACAGGGCTGGCCATGACGTCACTCTGAGTTGAGACAGCGAGCAGCAGCACCACACCACGTGGTTGTGTACAGGGCTGGCCATGACGTCACTCTGAGTTGAGACAGCGAGCAGCAGCACCACACCACGTGGTTGTGTACAGGGCTGGCCATGACGTCACTCTAAGTTGAGATAGCGAGCAGCAGCACCCACCACGTGGTTGTGTACAGGGCTGGCCACGACGTCACTTTGAGTTGAGACAGCGAGCAGCAGCACCCACCACGTGGTTGTGTACAGGGCTGGCCATGACGTCACTCTGAGTGGAGACAGCGAGCAGCACCACACCACGTGGTTGTGTACAGGGCTGGCCATGACGTCACTTTGAGTGGAGACAGCGAGCGGCAGCACCCACCACGTGGTTGTGTACAGGGCTGGCCATGACGTCACTCTGAGTTGAGACAGCGAGCAGCAGCACCACACCACGTGGTTGTGTACAGGGCTGGCCATGACGTCACTCTAAGTTGAGATAGCGAGCAGCAGCACCCACCACGTGGTTGTGTACAGGGCTGGCCACGACGTCACTTTGAGTTGAGACAGCGAGCAGCAGCACCCACCACGTGGTTGTGTACAGGGCTGGCCATGACGTCACTCTGAGTGGAGACAGCGAGCAGCACCACACCACGTGGTTGTGTACAGGGCTGGCCATGACGTCACTTTGAGTGGAGACAGCGAGCGGCAGCACCCACCACGTGGTTGTGTACAGGGCTGGCCAAGACGTCACTTTGAGTTGAGACAGCGAGCAGCACCACACCACGTGGTTGTGTACAGGGCTGGCCACGACGTCACTTTGAGTGGAGACAGCGGGCGGCAGCACCACACCACGTGGTTGTTTACAGGGCTGGCCACGACGTCACTTTGAGTTGAGACAGCGAGCGGCAGCACCACACCACGTGGTTGTGTACAGGGCTGGCCATGACGTCACTCTAAGTTGAGACAACGAGCAGCAGCATCCACCACGTGGTTGTGTACAGGGCTGGCCATGACGTCACTCTGAGTTGAGACAGCGAGCAGCAGCACCCACCACGTGGCTGTGTACAGGGCTGGCCACGACGTCACTTTGAGTTGAGACAGCGATTGGTTGCACCCACCACGTGGTTGTGTACAGGGCTGGCCATGACGTCACTCTTAGTTGAGACAGCGAGCAGCAGCACCACACCACGTGGTTGTGTACAGGGCTGGCCAGACGTCACTCTAAGTTGAGACAGCGAGCAGCAGCACCACACCACGTGGTTGTGTACAGGGCTGGCCACGACGTCACTCTAAGTTGAGACAGCGAGCAGCAGCACCACACCACGTGGTTGTGTACAGGGCTGGCCATGACGTCACTCTAAGTTGAGACAGCGAGCAGCAGCACCCACCACGTGGTTGTGTACAGGGCTGGCCACGACGTCACTTTGAGTGGAGACAGCGAGCAGCAGCACCCACCACGTGGTTGTGTACAGGGCTGGCCATGACGTCACTCTGAGTTGAGACAGCGAGCAGTAGCACCCACCACGTGGTTGTGTACAGGGCTGGACACGACGTCACTTTGAGTTGAGACAGCGAGCGGCAGCACCACACCACGTGGTTGTGTACAGGGCTGGACACGACGTCATTCTGAGTGGAGACAGCGAGCAGCAGCACCACACCACGTGGTTGTGTACAGGGCTGGACACGACGTCACTCTAAGTTGAGATAGCGAGCAGCAGCACCCACCACGTGGTTGTGTACAGGGCTGGCCACGACGTCACTCTAAGTTGAGACAGCGAGCGGCAGCACCCACCACGTGGCTGTGTACAGGGCTGGCCACGACGTCACTTTGAGTTGAGACAGCGATTGGTTGCACCCACCACGTGGTTGTGTACAGGGCTGGCCACGACGTCACTCTGAGTTGAGACAGCGAGCAGCAGCACCCACCACGTGGCTGTGTACAGGGCAGGCCACGACGTCACTCTAAGTTGAGACAGCGATTGGCAGCACCCACCACGTAGTTGTGTACAGGGCTGGCCATGACGTCACTCTGAGTGGAGACAGCGGGCGGCAGCACCCACCACGTGATTGTGTACAGGGCTGGCCATGACGTCACTCTGAGTGGAGACAGCGGGCGGCAGCACCACACCACGTGGTTGTGTACAGGGCAGGCCACGACGTCACTCTAAGTTGAGACAGCGAGCGGCAGCACCACACCACGTGGTTGTGTACAGGGCTGGCCATGACGTCACTCTGAGTGGAGACAGCGAGCAGCAGCACCCACCACGTGGTTGTGTACAGGGCTGGCCACGACGTCACTCTGAGTTGAGACAACGAGGGGCAGCACCACACCACGTGGTTGTGTTCAGGGCTGGCCACGACGTCACTCTGAGTTGAGACAGCGGGCGGCAGCACCCACCACGTGGTTGTGTACAGGGCTGGCCACGACGTCACTCTAAGTTGAGACAGTGGGAGTCGCGCCCGACTTCTCCTCCACAGATTCCCCCGACCGAGTGGATCGCGGTGGCCACGGTACCGCGAGGGCCGTGACACAATGTACGGCTGTCTCGAGCTCCCCTCTCGATGTTCGCGGTGGCTAGGAGATGTTGACTACCTCGCCTGGTATGCAGGAGGTCGTATGGTTCGATCCAAACCCTGACGACGCCTGTTGTATATTTGGAGTTAGCGTGTCTCTCTCTCATCATCATTACGCTGGCTAGGAGATGTTGACTATCTCGCCTGATATACAGGAGGTCGTGGGTTCGATCCCAACCTTGACAACGCCTGCTGTATATTTGCTATTTGCGTGTCTCGCTCTCTCATCATCATTACGTTAGCTAAGAGATGTTAACTACCTCGCCTGGTATACAGGAGGTCGTATGGTTCGATCCCAACCCTGACAACGCCTGCTCTATATTTGGAATTTGCGTGTCTCTCTCTCTCTCTCATCATCATTACGTTAGCTAGGAGATGTTAACTACCTCGCCTGGTATACAGGAGGTCGTATGGTTCGATCCCAACCCTCACAACGCCTGCTGTATATTTGGAGTTTGCGTGTCTCTCTCTCTCATCATCATCACGCTGGCGAGGAGATGTTGACTATCTCGCCTGGTGTACAGAAGGGCGTGAGTTCGATCCCAACCCTGACAACGCCTGCTGCTGTATATTTGGAATTTGTGTGTGTCTCTCTCTCTCTCCGTGGTCCTCCGTTTTTTTCCCCTCCATGTTTAGAATCAACGTCACGCGTTCAGAGTTATTTAGCTGCTATGCATTTCCACGTGATGATGATGATGAGCCACTTCGTTTGGCTATAATTTGTGATGGCCAGGTCTCGTCTGAAAAAGAGGTATATAGCTGGTAAAATAGAATAAAAATAGCTGATCGTAAATATAATTGAGTTTACTTTGAATAAATCTTGACTCTAAGCTTTCGTGACTGCAGGAATTCATATTCTTTGGGTCTTTCTGTAAAGTCACGTAGATAGAACAATTACATAATATTTTATTTTATTGTTCTGTCAACGTTACTTTGAATAGTGTTTTTTTTTTGCAACGTGGAGGGATATAAATGTATACGTATACAAAGGAGACATATCGTCGACTCATCTATTCCCGCGAATTTTTTTTTTTAAAGTCCACCGATCAATCGCACGCTCAATATTCATCACATGAGGACGAGCGGGAGCGCCTTCCGCGGTGACTTATCGCTGTTTATCTTAAACCCCCGATCGCGTGACGCGGGGATTCGACCTTTCACACCTGGCAGTGGATTCATCTGCATTAAAAGGTCATTATCTTTGATGACATCATTAGCAATGGGGCCCAGTGGGTGTGAGTTGAAGGTGGGGGGGGGGTGCGAGGGGGGGGGGTCTTTTCTCCTCCGGCAAAAGAGGTCTATCGGGAATATGCGGCGCTGAAAAATGTAGACCTCCGGTAAGAGTCGTTACGCCTTCGCCATTGAACGTATGGCAGTGAGCCCTCTCTAAGGGTGGGTGGGTGGGTGGGGGGGGCGTGATGATGATTTAAACGAAACTATATTTTTTAACGAAACTGTGTTTTGATTTAAAGCTTTCGTGACTGCAGTAATTCATATTCTTAGCTCTTTCGGTAAAGTCACGTTGAAGGGAAACGATAAAATAATAAAACATATATAAAACAATAACAATTCTCACGACGTTTCGACCATAACAGACAGCATACATTAATTTTTCGTCTCCCCCCTCCTCTTCTCAGAACATAAATGGACTAGTCCTTCTAAACAAACTGCCAAATCGCTGCGCGTGGCGCTGACGTTTTTTATAAATAAAAAAATGCACCGTCAAAAAATAAATAAATTAATGCGAACCGGCACACCTGATGACGACCGTTTGTGTTATGGTCGAAACGTCGTGAGAATTTTTATTGTTTTATATGTATTTTATTGTTTCCCTTCAACGTGACTTTACCGAAAGAGCTAAGAATATGAAACTGTGTTTGTTTTGCTAGTTAAAGGCCCCACTGAGCTATTTTTCCAGGATTTTTTTTCTTCTGTTGCGTGGAGTCACTTCAAGATGTTTTCTTGTTCATGTTTTTGCTTTGTTGCGGTTGCACCCGAAGTCAACAGCCGCATGGCTCACAGGGTTATACATAATGATGAAACCGGAAAAAAAAAACTTTACGTATAGCTCTTATGCAGAAGAAACCCTAGGCCATCACAAATGATAGCTCAACGAAGCGGGCTTAGAGTCATCACGTGGGCATCCATAGCAGCAGCCAAATAAACTCTAAACGCATGTTTCCGAATGTGGAGGGAAAACCCGGAGGACCCGGAGAAAAAAAATCGACGCGACCACGGGGGGACGGGGGGGTAGAGAGAGAGAGACACGCGAACTCCAAATGTACAGCAGCAAGCGTCAGGGTCGGGCTCGAACCCACAACCTCCTGTACACCAGGCGAGGTAGTTAACATCTCCTAGCCACTGTGATGATGATGAGAGAGAGAGAGACACTCAAACTCCAAATATACAGCAGGCGTCAGGGTCGGGATCGAACCCACAACTTCCTGTACACCAGGCGAGGTAGTTAACATCTCCTAGCCACTGTGATAATGATGAGAGAGAGAGACACTCAAACTCCAAATATACAGCAGGCGTCAGGGTCGGGATCGAACCCACAACTTCCTGTACACCAGGCGAGGTAGTTAACATCTCCTAGCCACCGTGATGATGATCAGAGGGAGAGACACGCAAACTCCAAATATACAGCAAGCTTCAGGGTCGGGATCGAACCCACGACCTCCTGTACACCAGGCGAGGTAGTTAACATCTCCTAGCCACCGTGTTGATGATCAGAGGGAGAGACACTCAAACTCCAAATATACAGCAAGCTTCAGGGTCGGATCGAACCCACAACCTCCTGTACACCAGGCGAGGTAGTTAACATTTCCTAGCCACCGTGATGATGATGATGAGAGAGAGAGAGAGACACGCAAACTCAAGATATACAGCAGGCATCAGGGTCGGGATCGAACCCACAACCTCCTGTACACCAGGCGACGTAGTTAACACCTCGAGCAATGTGAGCACCGCCTTGGGATGCTTGCGACTGGGAGGGGAAATCGATGCCGAGCCTGGAGCGAGTAAAATATCACGGAACGAGGCCGAGTGGCAGGCAGGCCGCGATCGTCCGCCGGGGAATGTATCCGCCTTGAGTCGCTGCTCAGACCGCTTGCATCCGAAGATGATGACGCCAACGCGTGCATACCTGTACGGCGATCCACTGCTGGATAGATGACGGTCCCCTTCACCCCCTGCGTGAGTCGTGGGCGGTTTTTTTTTTTCACCGTGGTTCAAAACCGGTCCAGGGCCCTCCCTTAGGGCGACTCAGCCGTAAGTGAGCATCTTGCATCAGTCTCGGTGCTGGGGGCAGACGAGGTCGGCCAGGCTGCGTGGTTCTGGGACTTTCCCCCTCCCCACCCCCCTCCACCGCCCCCCCCCCTCCCCCAACACTGCCCTCATTAAATCTTGACTTAAAGCTTTCGTGACTGCAGGAATTCATATTCTTTGGGTCTCTCGTTAAAGTCACGTCGAAATGTTTGAATTAATAAAAATTAAATGAACAAAAACCACGACTTTTTTCTTTGGTTCTTTCGGTAAAGTCACGTAGAATGAGAATAAAATAATAAATTGATAAAATAAAATAACACAATAAAATAACACAATAATAAAAAAAACATTGTGTTATTTTATTTTATCAATTTATTATTTTATTCTCATTCTACGTGACTTTACCGAAAGAACCAAAGAAGATGAATCCTTGCAGTCACGAAAGCTTTAAATCTAAAAATAAAAACCACGACGTTTCGATCACAACACCAGCAATCATCATCATCAGGTGTGAAAACCACAGCAAAAAAAATTATTGCTGTGGTTTTCACACCAGATGATGATTGCTTGTGTTGCAATCGAAACGTCGTGAGAATTGTATTGTATTATTATTATATTATTAATTCCCTTCTATGTGGTGACTTCACCGAAAGAACCAAGAATACGAATCCCTGCAGTCACGAAAGCTCTAAAACGAAATCCATCTCCGTGACTTTACCGAAAGACCCAAAGGACACTCCCCCCCCACCCCCACCCCCCCCCCCCCCGATTATTGCAGCGTGGCTGCCTTCAGGGTTCTGCCTCAACAGCCCTGCGTGGCTACACAGCGCTGGCCCGGAGAGTGGCGCTCATCGTCCCACTCTTCCGTCGTCTCTGCCGTAGGTGCCTGCGGAACATCACGTGGAGAGGCAGGGACCTGTCCTTCAACAGCAACGGCTACCTGGAGAAGCCGTCGATGACGGTGATGGCCCTCAACAACGAGCGCGTATGGGAGAAGGTGAGAGAGCGACCGAGCGAGCGTTTGCGATTGAACCTTCCTTCGCACCGTGCCCAGCCAACCGTGCGTCGACCGGAGCAGCGGTGTCACGTTTTTGCGCTACGAACCCGGCGACCCGAGTTCGATTCCCGCTCACGGACAGCACCGGTGACGATTATCTGAACCAGTCCTTGGGCCTTCCGCCAGGTCGACTCAGCCTCAAATGGGTACTTAATGCGGGGTGTGTAGATATCGACACTGGGGGGGAGACAAAGGCGGCCGGGCGTGGTGCTGGCCACCCACCCCTTCGTGTGCCGTGCCGGCCTTCATAGAGTGCGAAGTGGTTGTTACCCGCAACAACCTATCAAAAGGCTGCTTAACCCAGCCCTCCCACCCACCCACGCCCCCTTACTGACTCCTCCCCCCTTCCTTAACCTGTATATGATCCCGGTTGTCTCTGAACTGTGCTCCTGACACAGATATTCTGCGTTGACTTTTCCACCTGAAGACGGACGCTTGTGTTGCCTCCGAAACGTCGTGATTTAATTATTTTATTTTGTTTTATTTTATCTACGTGACTTTACCGAATAAAACCAAAGAGTAACCACAATCATATAAACAGAAATCTATTTTATTGCAATATACTGGGTGGGGGGGGGGGGGGGATATTTTGAGCATATTTGAATATTGGGGGGGGGGGGGAATGTGTATTTGGATGGACTAGTCCTAAATAAACTGCCAAATCGCTGCGCGTGGCGCTGACGTTTTTTATAAATCAATAAATACACCGTTTAAAAATAAATACATTTATGCAAACCGACACACCTGAAGACGACCGTTTGAGTTATGGTCGAAACGTCGTGAGAATTTTTATTGTTTTATATATGTTTTTTATTATTTTATTGTTTCCCGTCAACGTGACTTTACCGAAAGAACTAAGATTATATAAAAACAAATGTAACGTTCAAATATTGATTTGCCACTTTTTTTTCGACGGGCGCTTGTGCTGCGTCCGAAGCGTCGTGATCTATTTATTTTTCTACCTGCGTGACTTTTTTAACGAAAGACCCAAATAATATAAATGTAACGTTAACACGGCCACACCTTGACTTTCGTCCACGTGACATTTCAAATTTCCACGAGGTTTGCGCCACGCGTCACCGTTTTCGTTCAGTCTTTGAATAGAAGTCAGTTTCAGTGACCATCACTTATAATTTGTGTTCATTCATATATTATTAATACTGTTCCTTTTTGTTATTTTATTTCATACCCACGTGACTTTAGCGAAAGAACCAAGGAGTATGGATTCATGCAGCCGCGAAAGCTTCAAATCTAGATTGAATACTGGACTTATTTGCGTGATTATACCGTCAACAATTAATCGTTATTTTTTGTGATAACACGCTCTGCTTTGACATTCGTCCATTTTGTGACATTCGTCAATGCTCTGGTCCCCAACCGGACGAAAAAAACGAGGTATCCCTCCTGTAGCTTCAAGAAGTCAAAAAGTCTCCCACCTGTTCGCCATCATTGTCAACGCGTGCCCGGAATCTTCTCTAGGCGATCTCCGGTGCCCGCAGGCAACACATTTCTTGTGATTATTGTAGCAAGTTCTCCGAAGTGTTAACATTTTTCTGAAGCACGCCCCCCGTATTTTCCCTTAGCCAATCACCGTCCTTCACCTTCGAATGGATCCCAACCGTCGCCTCTGGGTTCCGCTCTGTGCCCCGCCCATTCTCGTTCCAATCACTTCAAAGGCCCTACCTCCCGACCAATCCCTGTGGAGGCCTCTTTCCGCCAATCAGAAACCCTGCTATGTGACGTAGGTTTTGGCGAGCAATATCATCCATAATAGAGGGGGGTTATATATTTGGGTTAGATCGTCGTACTCAGATTGTAAATGTTGTGGCTTGGCTCTCCAACACACCGGTGTGCTGTACTAGTATACTGCACTATACACTACACTATACACTACACTATACACGACACTACTATACACTAGACTATACACTACACTACTTTACACTAAACTACTATACACTACAGTACTATAAACTACATCATTAGAGCTCTTTTGCCAGTACCAAAATATAATAATAGGGTTTTTCCCCTTTTTTTTTCTGGCAACAAAACGGAAACCTTTTTACAAGGATTCATGTTACTGCATTAACCACAATACCTGCAGTCAAAATGCAAACAAAATACATACTATGATAATATATGCATTATATTCTTGGTTCTTTCAGTAAAGTCACGTTGAAGGGAAACAATAAAATAATTAAATATGTATAAAACAATAAAATTCTCACGACGTTTCGACTGCAACACAAGCAGTCATCAAGAATATGAATCACTGCAGTCACGAAAGCTTTAAATCAAAATATATGCATTGTCCTTGAAACTGATTGGTCCACACCAAGGGACGGCTTTCTTTTGAGCCTCGACCCAATTGGTGCTCAACCAGATGACGCCAAAAGGCGTCACACAGCTCAAAGACAATGCACTATCAAAGTAATGAGGGCTCGGGGTGAGCATCTATATCATTAGACCTCCTTTGTCAGTAACAAAATATAATAATAGGGTCTAATGATATAGATGCTCACCCCGAGCCCTCATTACTTTGATAGTGCATTGTCTTTGAGCTGTATGTCTTATGTCGTCATCTGGTTGACCGGATGACGCCTTTTGTCGTCATCTGGTCGAGCACCAATTGGGTCGAGGCTCCAAAGGAAAGCCGTACCTTGGTGTGGACCAATCAGTTTCAAGGACAATGCCACATATATTATCATAGTATGTTTTTGTTTGCATTTTGACTGCAGGTATTGTGGTTAATGCAGTAACATGAATCCTTGTGTAAAAAGGTTTCAGTTTTGTTGCCAGAAAAAAAAGGGGAAAACCCCCTATTATAATACTATACACTACACAACTATACACTAGTGCTGTACTAGTGACGAATTGGCCACGTTCTGTTTACGTGACAACCCCTTACTAGTTGACTGTGTCGGCTGGTGGCGCGTTTTAACGACACAACATTTATACATTGACGCGATCTATCCCCCCCCCCCACCTCCAAAAAAAAACCCCGTCCATGACCGTGGTACATTTTCGAATAGCCGTTAGGCTGCACGTTGGCTTGGGGTCATTTTCGGTCATTGCATCCTGCACCGTGCACGCAACGTATGAAACCCTCGCCACGTGCCGTTGTGTTTCCATGTTCCTGGTGGCTTTTCTTGTTTTCACTTCTAAATGCCACCGTCTGCGATTCGGCCGAGCATGGCAAAATGTATGTGCAGCGAGTGCAGAAGCCAAACTTATTTTAAAAAAAAATATATCATTATTATTATTTATTATTAGTCTTGGATTATACATTATAACTCGCCGAGGCATTGACATTACCCCGCTGGCATTTTCTTCTCGCGAGAGGAACAGATTCGGGAAGATATGCATCTGATGATATCTGCGGAAGGCAGCGATACTGAACGTGTTCCCGCAATTCCACCCAGCCGCTGTTCTCACGGACTGAACGCCAGGCCTAGATGCAACCCCCTATATACAATGAGGTTGTGTTGTGTGTGTTGCGTCTGTGCGCGAGCTTGTGTGGTTTGTGTGTGCGTGTGTGTGTGTGTGTGCGCCGGGTGGCTAGAATGCAACAAGCTGGCACGGGAGAGACGTTACATTCCTCCCCTGGTATACAGGAGGTTGTGGGTTCGATCCCAACCCCTTGACGCCTGTATATTTGGAGTTTGCACGTTCTCCCCGTGGTCGTGTGGCTTTGTCTCTGGCTACAGCGGTCTTCCCCTCCACATTTAGAAACGCGCGCTTCCAGTATTGGGCTGCTATGAATTTCCACGTGGTAAACCACTTCATTGGGCTGTCATTTGTGACAGCCAGGTTGCTTCTAGAAAAAAAAGAGCTGATTAACTTAGTGGTACCTTACCTGGTAAGATACAAATACGTAGAAAGAAAATAAATTAAAGAATAGAATACGTCGTTTCGATAGCAACACAAGCAATCGTCATCAGGTGGAAAACAAACCGAGTGAGCTTAGAAATGCAATACAACACAACACAGAGAGTGGGCTAACACAACAGTCAGCACCTCGCCCGGTTGATTACGTTCTTCCAAAGATTGCTAAACTTGAGAGAGAGAGAGAGAAAATACAGACACAGAGACACACAGATGGACACACAAGCAGAGAGAGACAACATAGAGACACACAGAGAGAGAGAGACACACACAACATAGACACGCAGAGACACAACGTCTCTGTGTCGAGGCCTATAATAGAGAGAGAGGGGAGGGGGGCAGAGAGAGAATTTACCCGGCTTGTTGGGTCTCTCTATATCCCGGCGGCAACGGGGTGGCTTTCCACACCGCTCGCTCATTGACATGCTAATTTCTCTGCTCCAGCAGACCCCCCTCTCTCTCTGCCCACTCCCCCCCCCCCCCGCTCTCTGTGTGACGATGTGTGACGAGGGGAGCGGGGTTGAGAAATGTGACGTCACCTCAAAATGCGCAACTTTCAATAAATATAGACAACACGTTCTACTTAATTACATAGACTTTTTAAAATCAATGTTTTCTCCTACAACGTCAGAGTGCAGCGCCACATTAAATACGCGCTACAATGGCGATAGTTTCAAGCTATTTAAAGCATGTTTTATTTTTTGGGGGGTGGGGGCAGAGCTTTTGTGACGTCACATTTGAGGGGGGGGAGGGGTCTGACTTTTTGTGACGCCGTGTGACGAGGGGGGGGGTGGGTCAAAAGTCGTCCAAAATCGCGTGACGTCATTTATGGACGGCCCCCAAGGCTACACGGAGGATCTTTGCATTTGGCACTGAGGCGGATAAGAAGACAAAAGGACATCCCTTGTAGGCTTCTAAGACCGCTGGGCGAAGTGCTGTTAGCGAGCACCTATTGATCGCCGAGACAGTACATGGCGGGCAGCACCACCCACTGCCGGCCGCCTTTGTATCCCTCGCACTGATGTTTGCTACACATCGCAGCTCGGTAGAACATT